ACTTCACCAGGTTAACAGTAGCTGCCTGGAGACCCTGTTCTCTTAGAACTCAATTACAGGACATTATGAAGACTTTAATATCTCACAGGACGTAAAGTGGGAAGGGGAACCACACGCTATGTATTTCCTAGCTATTGGCTGTAGGATAAAAGAAAGAGACAAAGAGCTACTGCAACCTTGCTATGTATCGCACATACCACACACCTTCTCTTATGGAAAATCATGAATTCATTAAGGTAAAAACCAGAAGCTATATTTTGAAGATAAAGAAAACATTTTTCTGAGCAAATACCTGGCTGCCACTAACTAAAAGAAGGGAGGGAATTATAAAGGAAACACAGGAAAGTGAAGGCGCTACTATGTACTGACCATTTACATATGGAAGACGTGTGTAAGTTGGTACCTGTCACTCAGTAAGGACCTGGGTATTCAATGTCCTCACATTTGACTGCACCCAGTATTTCCAGTGTCCCTCATGCCTGGCTGTGATGCACATTCTGGATTCTAAATTTTCTTTCTTCAAAATGCACTTTAAAATGTTTCCCCTTCGCAAATTATTATAAAATTTGAAAGAGACTTTAAGCAAATGCTCCCATTGTTCTTCCTGGACAAAGAGGATATTTTAGAGCACCAGAGAGGCAAACACGCTCACCCAGGAGGACAGAACTCAGCTCTGTCGGTATCCAGACCTGCTTCTTGGCTTAGTCCTGCTTTCCCTCTGGGCCTCTGTTTTGACCATAGAGAGTTGAACCCACAAATGCTGTGATTTCTCCAAGTTCAAAACCTACTCTTAATAGAAAAAGTCAAGTAGGCTTCACTATACTAACCCTAACAACAGCTTATACTTTCCTTTGTTTGTTTTTCTCCAAATCATAAGAAACATTTAAGACTGTTTGCCTCCTGCTACCTGGAAACCTTTGTTAGAGCCAGAGACCCAAAGACAGGCATCCATTCACTCTGTGTTCACACGTAACACACTGGCAAGGAAAAGAGGGTTTTTTGAAGCCATATCTATCAAGCATGAGTCTGTTCTACATTTCTGAATAATGATAATGCTTTAGTTAAATAAATGGCACCAAGTGACAATGATTCTAAAAGTTATCCATATAAATGTCTGTGGATGGCAAGGAAGGCATGTTACTTCCTGTCGGATGTTGGAGGTAGTTCAAGAGGTCTCCATGTGTCAAAACACATGAGCTGGTCTTCAAAAGGAAGCCATGGTTGGAGACGAGAGAGAATGAGCAAGAATGATGCAGGATGGCCCACCATTAGCAAAGCTCAGAGGTTAGAAAGTGTGCAATGTAAGTAAAAAGAAAGCTTGTTTGGGATGTGCTCCCAGGCCCTGGGAGGGAGTGGTAGCACACAAAGACGTTAGGGGTTTTATTATTTACATCCAACGCTTTTTAAAAGAAAAACAAACTTGAGCCATCTTCCAGGTTAAGTGTTAGTGGGATGTCAGGTAAACTGAGCAAAAAAGATGCTGGGGCTAAGGAGGAGAATTATAATTTCTTCCAAGACCCACCAAGAACTAACTAGACTGGTACCATTGCAGTCACAATGACAAAGGTGGGACAGATGTAAGAAGTGGTAGTAATCACAATACCCACTAATGTCTAGTGCATGCTTGCTTCACAAATAATGTTTGCTTCATAAATAATCCAAGAAGGTAGGTTTTGTGGCTTCAATTTTGCATATACAAAAACCCAAGCAAAGAAAGGTTTTGAAAGATTCCCTAAGCTCCCCCACTTAGAAATCAATCCAATGTTTCTAGAGCCAACTTGCTGATGCTGTATCACAGGCCTGCTGATCGATGACCCTCTGAGAACCACAACTTGTATCAGAATTAGTAAAAGTATAAATGTATATGATTGTTGAGCCTAATTGTCCACTTGAGTGGATTGAAAATTGCCTGGGCAATTAGCAAGCCTCACCTCTGGTGTTACTGGAAGTCATTTCCAGAAATAACTGATCATGAGGACTGTGATATGATGAATATATTAATTCATTAAAAGATTGGCAGTATAATGGCATATTTGACAGGCGATAAAAGATGAGAGCAGGACCTTTGGGAGGGGGAAGCCACTGGGATGCAAGATTAGGGGTTCTAGCTTTTCCTGAACCCTCTCTGTCCTCCCTTTTCTCTGCTCCCTGGCTGCCGTCAGGTAAAGAAGCACCCTCTACATGATCTCACCACTATGCACAGACCCAGAAACCCAGCGCCAAAGACAGAACCTTCTGAGACCATGAGCAAAAATGAATTCTCCTTCCCTTTGGCTGTCTCGGGTATTCCATAACAGCAAAAATAAAAGTGGCTGATACTGTGGGTAAATAGGACACATAACTGATAAGAATAAATGGCCGTGGCTTACCCAAAGCTTGTGCTCACATCTTTAGATATCCATTGGTAAATGATGAGCTCCACTGATCAGAGAGCAGTTGCCCACACTCACCTGCATGAATGAAGAGTTGTCACCCTATCCCCATTGTGTGATGGCTAATTCTACCCTATATTTAGGAAGGTCTGTGGTGTTCTTACCTTTATACTGCATAAGTGAAAATTTTCCATAGAAATCTCTGTCAAGTTTCTCTTGACAAGACAAACTGGCTCACAGACCTTCATCTCCACCCCTGTAGCATAAGGCTTAAGTAGAAATACCGCATCACCGCAGAAGGGCATGCCATAAGAACCTGTTCCATTCTAACTTCCCTTACTTCTCAGAGCTCAGACTTAAAGAAATAAGCAATTCCACTGTAAAACAACACATCGGTAGTCTATATTTACACAGCCATCACATCATTTTCTTTCTTGTTTTATTGCATTTTGTGACTATCTAGGGATGCAATGAGAAAAACATCAGGAAATAATGGTACAAAGGAGAGATGCACTGAGTGGCTCAAATTCAACAGTATCCATCTCTAGAGTTGAAACAAATGCTAGCTACATAAATTTCAAAATGCAAGCAATTGCTCTAGCAGCAGCCTGCCTTGCTATTTGTCCTGCTCTCGAGCTCTCTAACACCTATGATCCAGCCAGTGAGATTCTGTGCTTCAAAAAGCATTGTTGCCCTTTGATGGGACACTTTTCATTGCCAGCAGGGAAAATTAGCCATCTTCACAATACTGCTCTTCAGTAAATATGTTGTATGTTTAATTCTAAATATCTATTAATTTGCTTTAAATTGGCTAAATAATTATTATTGCTAAAATCAAGGCAACGAAACAATTTCAGCATTTTGAAAAGCTAATCTTGACAGCAGGTGATTTTTTTTGTGCCTCTGTCATTTTTCTTGTGAAGATCATTATCAGTTAATTGTGAATGGCAGCTACTTGGAATGCATGTTCATTCATGACAATGGCTTGATTGATTATTGGAGTTCCCATGTCACTATGTTGAGGATTCTCCCTCATTGGGATTTGAAAAAGACACCATCAATATCTTTACTATGAGTTCACATTAGATCATTCTATCATGAACCGGCTATACAGGATTGGAGGTTAAAAATTATGTAAAAACCTAAACAAAGCGATTCTATACAGCTTTAAATCAGATTTCTCCATTTATTGCTCAAAGCAAGATATTCTTTGAAGATGATTATTTTGCACAAAGTATTTCATTTGAAGGATAGCATCATGTTTAAAGAAGAACAGGGATGCCACAGACTTAAGATAACAAAAACCTAAGATGATGTATTCCAGACATATCACCTCTTGCATCTTGAGGAGGAATGGACCCCTATTAGGAGTCCAGAACACATGACAAACATGAAATGACCAGATGTAGATGCTTAGGCTTCAACCTCACCCAGTGTGTAGGTACCAGGATGCAGTACTTTCTGATGGATACTGTTTTGCCTCTGAGTCGGGGGAGCTGTGTACAGTGACCTCAGAGACACTCTATTCTCTTTGCAAGTCAATTCCAACAGAGCACAAACATCTGGCATGGCTCCTATGCTACTCCTCTCTTAACTTCTTAAGGGGTTCTGTTGCATGACCTTTGGCAAGTCCCATGATTTCACTCTCCAAACACCTGCTATGTCCATCAAATTATGCTGACAGTATAACCTGATCTTATGCAAACCTACTTTAAGTTTTTAAAAGAGACATCCTCATGTATTAAGCATGCAAACAATATAAACCAGTGTCTCTCAATCTGTGAGTTGTGACACCTCTGAGAGTCAACTGACCCTTTCACAGGGCTGGCGAACCATCAGATGGTCTTTTCTCAGACCGTGGGAAAGCACAGGTATTTGCATTATAATTCATAACAGTAGCAAAATTACAGTTATGAAGTAACAATGAAAATAATTTCGTAGTTGGGGGTCAGCATAACATGAGGAAAGTAGAGAACCACTAGTAGATACTATCTCAGAGCATTAGCCATGGATTGTATATTCTTACTAAACATCTCCTCAGGATCAGGTACTTTGATGGGTGAGGATAAAATACCACACTTACCCTCTAAAGTCAAGGTCAGCACACTGTTCTTTGTTGCTGCATGTTTTTGCTTGGGCTCTGCCTTAGTTAGGGTTTCTATTGCTGAAATGAAACACCATGACCAAAAAGAAACATGGGAAGGAAAGGATTTAATTAGCTTACATTCTCACATCACAGTTCATCACTGAAGAAAGTCAGGACAGGAACTCATGCAAGGCAGGATCCTGGAGGCAGAAGTTGACGGAGAGGTCATAGAGGGGTGCTACTTACTGGCTTGCTCCCCATGGCTTTATCAGCCTGTTCTTATAGAACTCATGACCACCAGTCCAGGAATGGCACTAGTTACAATGGGCTTGGACTTCCCCTACTAATAACTAATTAAGAAATTGCCCTAGATGTCTGCCTACAGCTTGATCTTATAGAGACATTTTCTTGATTGAGGTTTTTTTGTGATGACTTTAGCTTCTGTCAAGTTGACATAAAACTATCCAGCAAGGCCCCAAATTAATAATAACATATTTTTGAAGGGTTGTAAACAAAAGCAAAGAATACATAACAAAGACTGGTAAAGGTGTTCAAAATCTACAGCATTTACTAGGTGGTTTTTTTTTCCAGAATAAGTTCCATACATCTTAGTTCCATAAAGAAAAAAACTGACTGGGTAAGTACAGTGGAGGAAATGCAACATATGGGATTATATTTGAACAAGGATTTATGAGGTTGTTTAGAGTTCACCAGTCTCAAAAGACAAAGTGGGATAAAGTAAGGAAACAAAACCTCTGCTCAAATAGTAGGGCGGCAGATCTCAGGGTTTTCTGTCAATCAGTTGCTTGACTATAAATGGTTCTGTGTATAGGAGGTGGAGTAGGACGGGGAGGGGAATGGGAGGGAACAAGAAATATTGTAAAGGGCCTTACTATTTGACTGAAGACGAGAGTAACTTGAGAGAAAATGTATCACCAAAGATTTTTAAAAGATTGAAGAACTGCAGCCAATAATTCAGACATTGGTACAAAAATGAATTATAAAGAAACTTTAGCTTTGACCGTGAATGGAGTAATAGGAACCAGGTCTAACTTTCTGTCTGAAACAATTTTAGAAAACAATTTAGGTAAGATACAGAAGCCAAGTATTTCAGAGATTGACGACAGGCAGTTGTCCAAAGTCTGTCTGGGGAAGAAGCTATATGTTTCAGGACAATAGGACAAAGATATAGTCTGCAATGAGGAGTAAAATGAACCAACAGACCAGAAATAAGAACAATGACAGAATTTGTGAAGTCTATTTAAATTTAAGCCTCTATTCCAGATATCTAAATACTGAAGAAATAAAGGCACATATGTACACGCCAATGACATTTTTCAGACTAGAAACTTAACTTCTAAAAGATGAAAGACAGCATGAAAGTGAAAAATACGATGTATAGGAATCACAACAACCAGGCACTATTGGAAACAGTCGCAGACACAGCTGACTGAGTGTATCTAACAGATGTGTTGCAGAGTCAGGTATCTGGAAACTCCTGCGAGTTTTTTATCGAGTCACATCCCTGAATAAAGGCGTTAATTCAGACTTGCATGCCTTCCCAGGGTGGGACAAGCAGAAAAGACAACGCGGCTTCAGAGAGCTGAAATAGGAAAACAATGGTGGTTTCAGTGCACAATCCTATACAGTAGGGTACACTTTTATGCGCCTGCTGCTCTGCTTGGCCACAGGAAGATACACTCTTGACTCTCTAGGCTTCCCTCCTTATCCTCTCCAGACTTACACTAGCTGTTGGCTGCAATTTCACAACTCACGAGAGAAAAGATGACATGATAGAATCTTCATTCTCATAAAGGAATGGATTGCTTTCTTGGTATGTGATACAAGCAGGCACTAATAGCATCCACTTCATTTCTAATCATTTGGGGATAGACTAACACCAAGAAAACAATTTAACTGCATAGCCCAGGGACAGAGGTAGAATAAAAGAGAATAAGAAAATTGATAGGCAAGTATTCCCTAGAGGAAAGAAGTGATGAGTGAGGGATCTGGGAATCTAAAGATTAGCCAGCAACTGAAAATAGTGTGCTTCGCAGGCCCTTAATGAGACAGGCTGCTTCTTCAGTTTAAAAGCTCTGGTGGTTTTTGTTTTTATTGTCTCTTGTGTTGACTTTCTTTCTTGTGTATTCTCTTGCCTTACTTCAAGCTTTCATCTGCTTCCAGCACTTGGACCTCCTACACGATGCTCCTCAAAGGGATTCTGCACACTGTTAAAAATGCAAGGCAACAGAGAAGTTTAAGTCTAGAATAACTGCTATTTTAAGAACCACACCATGCAATCCAGAAGAATGGAATGACTCAAAAGAGGCAACCCTCTCCCCCACAGAGGAAGTATAACAATAACCCATGACAAGCAATTAAACTATTCCTAGTATACTACAAAGAGGTCACAAGAACTTAGTTATAAACTTCATAGTTACATCATGAAAATTTACACCAACACCAGAGGCAAAAGTCACCAAGCTGGTAAGGACTTAGCCACACAGTGCATCTTGATGTCTCTCACAAGGAATCACTACAGTCCTCCCAAGAAGCATTTTTCAGCACTTCTGAGTGACTTTTACAGTAACTGCTTCAAAGACCCTGCAATGGATGTGGGAGACGCTGATGAGAGGTCAAAGCTGCTATAGTTGATCTGCCATGGAGAAAGGTAATAGCACTACATCCAGGCTGGTCAGCATTGTCAGAGCACCAGCCTATGGCTATGCCAAGCAAAACACATTGAATTGATCAAACGAAAGAGGTAAGCGGGTTTTTTTTTCCCAAGAGAGATTTATTTTTTATTGCATGTGTATGAATGCTTTGCCTGCATATATGTATGTGTACCACGTGCATTCTTGGTGCAAGCAGGGGTCAGAAGAAAGCATCATGGCCTCAGGAACTGGAGTTGCAGGTGACTGCTAAGCCAACCTGATTCTTTTTTTTATTTTTTATTATTTATTTTTAAATTTAAATTAGAAACAAGGTTGCTTCAAAGTCAGTTCTAGGTCCCTCTCCGTTTCCCTCCCCTCCTCCGGTGCCCTCCTCCAACCCCTCCCAATATCCCCTCATTTCCCCAGGGAGGGTGAGGCCCTCCTTGGGGTTGTCCATAGTCTGTCATTTCATCCAGGGCAGGGCCTAGACCCTCCCCCAAGAGTTCTGGGTGAGAGTGCATCTCACATTGTTGGATGGGAGTCCAAAGTCCTTTTGTATACCCCGGGTAAATACTGATCTACTGCCCAAGGCTCAATAGATTACCTAGGCCTCCTCACTGACACCCACATTCAGGAGGTCTTGATCAGTCCCATGCTGGATTCCCAGGCATCAGCCAGGGAATCAAGAGCTAACCCTTGTCAGGTCAGCTGTTTCTGGGGACTAAACCAGCCCAGTCTTAATCCCTTTGATCATCAGTCCACCCTCTCTGTTCCTGGTTTTCTTGAGTTCAGCTCAGTGCTTAGCCATAGGAGTCTGCCTCTTCTTCCATCAGCCACTGAATGAAGGTTCTGTTTCCCAGAATCTCTGGCCATGGGATTGTAGGCTGGCACTCACCAGATTATGTCTAAAATCCATATATGAGAGAGTACATGCCATGTTTCTCTTTTTGTGACTGGGTTACCTCACTCAGGATGGTTTCTTCTAGTGCCATCCATTTGCCTGCAAATCTCAGGATTCCATTGTTTTTTTCTGCTGAATAGTACTCCATTGTGTAAGTGTACCACATTTTCTCTATCCACTCTTCAGTTGAGGGGCATCTAGGTTGCTTCCAAGTTCTGGCTATTACAAATATTGCTGCTATAAACATAGTGGAACAGACATCCTTGTTGTATGAATAGGCATCTTTTGGATATATGCCTAAGAGTGGAGTTGCTTGGTCTTGTGGTAGGTTTATTCTCATTTTTCTGAGGAATCGCCATACTGATTTCCAAAGTGGCTGAAAAAGTTGGCACTCCCACCAGCAATGGAGCAGTGTTCCCCTTTTACCACATCCTTTCCAGCATAAATTGTCCTTGGTGTTTTTGATTTTAGCCATTTTGACAGGAGTGAGATGGTATCTCAGAGTTGTTTTGATTTGCGTTTCCCGGATGGCTAAGGATGTTGAGCACTTTCTCAAGTGCCTCTCAACCATTTTAGACTCCTCTATTGAAAATTCTCTATTTAGTTCTGCAGCCCACTTTTTAATTGGATCCTTTGGTGTTTTGGAGACTTGCTTCTTGAGTTCTTTGTAAATTTTGGAGACCAGCCCTCTGTCAGATGTGGGATTAGTGAATATTTTTTCCCATTCTGTGGGCTGCCTTTTTGCCTTGCTGACTGTGTCCTTTGCCTTACAGAAGCTTCTCAGTTTCAGTAGGTCCCATTTATTAATTGTTGATCTCACTGTCTGTGCTACTGGTGTTACGTTCAGGAAGCTGTCTCCTGTACCAATTCGTTCAAGGGTACCACCCACTTTCTCTTCTAAGAGGTTCAGTGCCTCTGGATTTATGTTGAGGTCTTTGATCCATTTGGACTTAAGTTTTGTGCATGGCGATAAACATGGATCGATCCGCATTCTTCTACATGCCAGCCTCCAGTTATGCCAGCATCATTTGTTGAAGATGCTTTCTTTTCTCCATTGTATATTTTTAGCTTCTTTGTCAAAGATCAGATGTTCATACTTGTGTGGGTTAATATCAGGGTTTTCAATTCGATTCCATTGGTCTACCTGTCTATTTTTGTTCCAATACCAAGCTGTTTTCAGGACTATAGCTCTATAATAGAGATTGAAGTCAGGGATGGTGATGCCTCCGGACGTTGCCTTGTTGAACAGGGTTGTTTTGGCTATCCTGGGTCTTTTGTTTTTCCATACAAAATTGATTATTGTTCTTTCGAGGTCTGTGAAGAATTGTGTTGGGATTTTAATTGGGATTGCATTGAATCTGTAGATTGCTTTTGCCAGGATTGCCATTTTTACTGCATTGATCCTACCCATCCAAGAGCATCTTTCCATTTTCTGAGGGCTTCTTTAATTTCTTTCTTTAAAGATTCAAATTTCTTGCGATGCAGGTCTTTCACTTGTTTGGTTAGCGTTACCCAAGGTATTTTGTTGTTTGTGGCAATTGTAAAGGGTGATGTTTCTCTGATTTCTTTCTCAGCCCTTGAGTTGATCTTGTAGCCTGCCACTTTGCTGAAGGTTAATCAGCTGTAAGAGTTCCCTGGTAGAGTTCTTTGAGTCATTTATGTAAACTATCATGTCATCTGCAAATAGTGAGAGTTTGACCTCTTCCTTCCCAATTTGTATCCCCTTGATCCCCTTTTGTTTTCATATGGCTCTGGCTAGAACATCAAGTACAATGTTGAAAAGGTATGGAGAGAGTGGACAGCCTTGTTTTGTTCCTGATTTTAGAGGAATTGCCTTGAGTTTCTGTCCATTTAGTTTGATGTTGGCCGTTGGTTTACTGTATATAGCTTTTATTATATTTAGGTATGTTCCTGTTATCCCATATCTCTCCAAGACCTTTATCATGAAGGGGTGTTGGATTTTGTCAAAGGCTTTTTCAGCATCTAGTGAGATGATCATGTGATTTTTGTTTCTCAGCTTGTTTATATGGTGGATTACATTGATGGATTTTCGTATGTTGAACCATCCCTGCATCCCTGGGATGAAACCTACTTGATCGTGGTGAATGATTGTTTTGATGTGTTCTTGGATCTGATTTGCCAGTATTTTATTGAGTATTTTTGCATCAATGTTCATGAGGGATATTGGTCTGAAGTTCTCTTTCTTAGTTGTGTCTTTGTGTGGCTTGGGGATCAAGGTTATTGAAGCCATGTAGAAAGAGTTTGTCAAAGACTCTTCTGCTTCTAATGCATGGAATACTTTGAGAAGAATTGATATAAGCTGTTCTGTGAATTTCTGGTAGAATTCTGCACTGAGGCCATATGGACCTGGGCTTTTTTTTTTGGTTGGGAGACTTTTGATGACTGCTTCTATTTCCATAGGGTTTATAGGTCTATTTAAATTGCTTATCTGTTCTTGATTTAATTTTGGCAAGTGATAGCTATCCAGGAAGTCATCCATTTCCTTTAAATTTTCAAATTTTGTGGAGTGCAGGTTTTCAAAGTATGACCTGATGATTCTCTGAATTTCCTCAGTGTCCGATATTATATCCCCCTTTTCCTTTCTGATTTTGTTAATTTGCATGTTCACACTCTGCCGTTTGGTAAGTTTAGTCAAAGGTTTGTCTATCTTGTTGATTTTCTCAAAAAACCAACTCTTCATTGCACTGATTCTTTGTATTGTTTTCCTAGTTTCTACTTTATTGATTTCAGCCCTCAATTTGATTATTTCCTGGCATCTACTCCTCCTGGGGGAGTTTGCTTCTTTGTGTTCTAGAGCTTTCAGCTGTGATGTTAATTCTCTAGTATAACTATTCTCCAGTTTCTTCATGTGGGCACTTAGTGCTGTGAACTTCCCCCATAGCACTGCTTTCAAAGTGTGCCATAGGTTTGGGTATGTTGTGTCTTCATTCTCATTGAATTCTAGGAAGTCTTTAATTTCTTTTTTTTATTTCTTCTTTGACCCAGGCATGGTGCAGTTGTGCATTATTCAATTTCCATGAGTTTGTAGGTTTTCTGCAATTTGTGTTGTTGTTGAATTCTAATTTTAAAGCATGGTGGTCTGATAAGATGCACGGAGTTATTCCAATTTTTTTTGAAGCTGCTGAGGTTTGATATGTTGCCAAGTATGTGGTCGATTTTTGAGAAGGTTCCATGTGGTGGTAAGAAGAAGGTATATTCTTTTTTATGTGGATGAAATGTTCTATAGATGTCTGTTAATCCCAGTTGGGTCATCACTTCTATTAGACCCTTTGCTTCTTTGTTGAGTCTGTCTGGTATTCCTGTCTAGTGGTGAGAGTGGTGTGTTGAAATCTCCCACTATAAATGTGTGGGGCTTTATATGTGATTTAAGTTTTAGTAATGTTTCTTTTACAAATGTGGATGCTTTTGTATTTGGAGCATAGATGTTCAGGATAGACACTTCATCTTGGTGGATTTCGCCTGTGGTGAGTATGTAATGACCTCCTTCATCTCTTTTGATTGATTTTATTTTAAAGTCTAATTTGTTAGATATTAGGAGTGCTACCCCTGCTTGTTTCTTGGGTCCATTTGATTGGAAAATTTTTTCCCAACCTTTAACTCTCAGATAATGTCTGTCTTTGAGGGTGAGGTGTGTTTCTTGTATGCAGCTGAAGGATGGGTCTGTCTTCGAATCCTTTCTGCTAGCCTGTGTCTTTTCATGAGTGAGTTAAGGCCATTAATGTTGAGGGATATTAATGACCATTGATTGCTCATTCTTCTTCGATTTGGAATGGCCAACCTGATTCTTATCCCTGGGGTTGGGGACAATTTTAGTCTTTCCCAAAGCACACAGCAAGGAGAAGAGGTTAGCGGTTCTTAGGATGGGAAAGGGAAGGAGGGGTGAGGCTGACTGTGTGAAAGGCACGAGGAAAGGAGAAGTGAAGGGACTGACCCTCTTGCTCACTCTATTTTCATAGGGGAAGCACTAGCTAAAAAATTCTGAGAGTTATCAAGAGGACTCCAGAGAAGAACGATTGAAGGATCCACCCATTCCAGAACCCGAAATAATGGATGATCTCTTGATCTGTGGACCCACTGCAAAAGTGTAAGTCATGAGCCCCCTTAGTGAGTAGCGAGAAGGGAAAGAAAACCATGCATGCAATTGCCCCGGGGAAGTCTTGGGAGGAAGTCTCTGAACACTTGTGCTTAATAACTGTGAGACACCACTGAGAACCATCACTTCTGATTCTAATGACCTAGAAAAGCCACTGCTAAGAACAGTAAGTACAGCTGATCATCCTTTACCATCGACACCTATGGCATGTAATACAAGTACATTTAAAACTGTAATAGCACAAGCATCCAAGAGTTGTTACAATCTCCTCAGAAGCTTTCCATAATTTGAATATGAGAACTCTGTCTGGATATGTTTCCCACAAACAGCTTTTCCCTGCTACAAGAGAGAGGGCCTGGAAAGCGGCTGAAGCACAGGCATGTCTGGACATACTGGAGTATATTCTCCCACCTGAAAAGTCTTATGGGGTTTGACCTTTAATAACATGTATATTCGATGCCACCCATTTAGCGCTCAGACATACATTGTTGTATCTTATTAAGGATTTCACTAAATTATTAGTCTTTGACAGAGTGTATGTTCCCGTACGGTTGGTATTTCATTTCCTCTTGATATAACTTGTCTTTCATAGGTGTTCAGCTTAGAGTAAACACAGAGTTCTATACTTTATGTCTCCTTTTCCTTCCTTCCTTCCTTTTATGATCTGGCTTTTTGTTTTTTGGTTTTGGTTTTACGAGACAGGGTTTCTCTGTATTGTTTTGGAGGCTGTCGGTCCAGCCCGGCCTCGAACTCACTGAGATCCACCTGCCTCTGCCTCCCAAGTGCTGGGATTAAAGGTGTGCGCCACCACCGCCCGGCCTACGATCTGGCTTTAAAAGGATTTGCATCCCAAAACTTTATTAATAACCTTGCACTAGAAAATTAAGCCAATTTTCCATTTTGTATAATGCTTGAAGTAGTAGTTAGGTTGCCAGGGTAGCTCACAAGTGATGATTTAACAAATAAGACATCCAATGTAAGATAGCTTCTCCATAAACAGCAATAGAAAAGTCATACTAATAACAAGTTATAAGGAATAGGAATCTCACAGTCTCAGAACATGGTCTCAGACCACAAAGAGGGTCTTCAAAAACTAAACACATTCAGTAGTCACTATAGCAGATGTTCTTCAATGTTAAAACACTGAAAACCCAAAAGCCTGCCAACAGAGGGCAGACACTCTAGCTAAAATGCCACTCACTTCTATAACCAGTAGCATTAAAAAAAAGGTCTTTAACAGGCTTTTTGTGGGTCAGCATAAGAAAACTCACACCAGCGTAGTAGCAATTTTCAACCAACAAACAGAGGTACCACTGCACATAACTTAATATTTCACTCTGATTTGTCAAGAAAAGCTTGACATATTTTCAGAGAGACCAGGAAAGTACAATAGAGAGAATAGACAGAGCAAGAAAAACTATGTGGTTTCTCATTTAGCAAGGCCGGTGAGTTTATGTTGGTATGTCCACAAGACTATCCCAAATATAAATACATGAGTTCATGTTTGCTTAAGTGCTTTCGCTAAAGTCTTTAGTGGAAGGCATCTTTCTTAAACTCAGGATCAAGACCCCGACTACCTACAGAATTTTTCTCTTTTCCTCTTGTGATCATCTATTGTAGACACAGAAAAGAACTATTCAATCATTTGCCTGTCTTTCCACTTACAGCTAATCCTTGAAGTAAATTTCAAGGTGTCACCCTGGACAGGGGGACGCTTTCCCTATCACTTGTTTTGCAATTGGCCTCATTATCCCAAGGTGGTTATGCATCCCATGCATGGGTATACCCTGAGCTTTCTCAACCATTCTCTTCCCTAACAGAGAAAGCTAAGTCAATTGCTCTAATTCCTCAGCCAGACTTTAATCAAAGAGTTTATTTCTTATATCTGGATTGCCAGCACTGTAAAACTGCCTTACAGCCGATTCCTACTCACCAACATGTTTACTCAAACACACTGTCTAGCTGATGTTGTCTCTCTGTGTCTAAATTTTGTCTATAAATATTACAGCTGAAATCCCAGTCCAGATGAAAACGTGTATAGGATGGATATAGGGTAACGTGAACCAAGGATCCAAGGCTGAGCCTGCAGTTCCAATAATTACAGTCTGGGAGAGGAGGACACAGCACAGAATAATTGTAAGACAAAAGAAAGAATTTTAAGGGGGGAATGAAGTTAAAAGAAAAAAGTTCAAAGACAGAGGAGAATAGTCAAACCTCGGCAAAGTAGTACTGGTGACTACAACAGCGATGGATTTTGCTTTTGAAACATTATTGATAACGAGTGAAAACTGTTTTCTGATTTGAGACAGACTTTCTAACAAGACACCAATGTTTTGCAAAGAAATGATAGCCTGTGACTCCTCTGCTTTGGACTGAAATTCAAACTACTGCAATGGTCTGAATTTCATGAGGATTTCTCTGCCGGTGACCCAACAGGTTATGCACGATACCCACCATCACCCAGGAATTCACCTTCTTGGAGTGACTGCAATCTCAGAAGAATCACACATGTTGGCAATGAGGTACAATCATAACTGCCATCTGGTAGGAAAATAAATGATGAAAGTGAAAGGTGTCTTTGCCCCCAGTAAGTCTCTCTGTTGCTGCAGTAATTCAAAGAAAACCAAATTAAAAGTTAAAAGTCCAGGTTTATCGGCAAAACACTCCTCGGTGATTTTCCAGACCCCAAAATACAGAGGGAAGAAGCCGAAAAACCGCATGGCGAGTCGCTAGAGAGCAGTTTAAATACCCTGTGAGTGTGGTCTTGTGGTCTTGCACATCGCTGGGGGAAGAGCCACCAAAGGGTATTCTGAGGAGAGAGAGATGCTGGGAGGGGCGCCTGAGGTGGCGCTTCCACTGAAAACGCCTGTCCAGTCAGCTTCACACAGCTCCATCCACAGCAAATGACCTGTGCATGTAAGATTTGGTACCTGAAAGAAAAAAAAATACTGCCTTTACCTGTCCAGTTGCGGTAGAGAGCATGAGATCTGAATCAATATGAGCAAGACACAGTTTCTGTACCTTAGCTTTGGGACAATGATACCGCATTTTTTTGCTGGCAGTCTTTACTAATACATAAATTGATTTTTAAACTAAGCATATCTGTAACTGGCAGGGTGAAGGTGCAGTGTTGCCATCCAAAGTGCAGGCACCGCGCGTCTAGCACATTTCAAGGGGTTCACGTGCTTTGTGCTTACATTCTTCTCCCTGAACAAAAGAGGTTAAATAAATTAAGATCCTTTTTAGAGTAAATCGTTTGCTTCCTACTATGACTCAAGCCCACTGTGTGTTAACCTTAGGTATTCCTTCTCCGATTTCTCTAAAAGAAACTTTGGTGAACCAAACTCTTTCTTCTTGATTTGCATAGATATTTTCATAGGGTGTTTGCAGGACTTACTGGACCAATTTAATAAGTGCTTGGAAGACAGCAGCACTAAGAGCAGCCCAGACCGTGTAGGTCCAGTTCCGGAGATTTTAAAAGGAAAGAGTATCAACAATTGTGATAGAGGGCATTATTGTTATATTTTGGTAAAGAATATAGCTGCCATTTGTAAATAGCCATTTCCTGTCCCAACCACCCATCCCCGAATACCCAGTAGCCTCTTCCCAAATTACCACACAGAGGTTTATATTAATTATAAGTGCTCAGCCATTAGCTCAGACTTGTTACTAGTCAACTCTTACACTTAAATTAACCCATAATTCTGATCTATGTTTAGCTACATGGCTCAGTACTGTTTGTCGGTAAGACATTCTCATCTTGTTTGCCAGGGACTCTCCTGACTCCACCCTTCTCTTTCCCATCATCCTTAGGTTGGTCACCCTGTCTAGACTTCCTGCCTGGCTACTGGCTAATCAGCATTTCATTAAACCAATTCAAATGAGAAATCTTTACAGTGTACAAGAAGATTATTCCATAGCAGCTAAGAACTTTCCTGAAACTAAAGTAATAGACTAATTACTTTGGCTGAGGCAGTGTTTCTCACCTTGTGGGTTGTGACCCCTTTAGGGGTCCCATATTAAATATCATGTATAATCAGATACTTGTATCATGATTTATAACAGTAGCAAAATTATTGTTACCAAGTAGAGATGAAATAATTTTATTGTTAGAGGTCAATATACCATGAGGGACTTTATTAAAGGATCGCAGCATTAGGAAGGTTGACAACTACTGGGCTGAGGCAATTTTGAAGCAACGTAATATTACAAATGTGGCATGGTTAGTATTAACAATGCTTATGCAGGTCTACACTGAAAGGGGGCAGAGGGACAGAAAGAAATACCAAATGTTCTGTCTGAAGAGACAAAAAGGAAACTTACTGTTGTTCCCAATGCTTGTGGTTTAAGAGATAAAGAGATTAGCATCCTTTAGGAGAGTTCTCTTACTCAGCACTGGAATAAAAAGAAGGATGCCAGATGCCCTTAGGGAGAAATGTCACCCAACTAAGCTTCCAACTTGTGAAAGAGCAGCTAAGAAGCTCTGATTCTAATATGATTCCAAGAGAGGAAGGGTCTATTCCAAGCCGGCAGGCACACTTGGCAATGCCATCCATATAGTGCTGACTTTGACATCACAAAGGATGCAAACCTCAGGTCGATGTGGGTTGTCCCTCCTTTAGAAAGCTGCTGAGGCCAGTCATTGTGTGACCGGTTAGTCTCTATATGGAGGCCTGGCAGGCCATTGAGTGAAGTTGGTATCATGACGCCTGGATTGCAGTACAGTCGCCAAGATTTTGGAGGTTCCAGAGCTGTGGGATAGCTGTCAAGCAGAGCTGCAGACACGGAGTGAAACCAGGACAAGTATGTTGTAGGTGACAGAGCTGAAGAGGTTATCTAAGCCCTTTGATACCAGACTTGGACCTGCAGGATTTGCTCTTGCTTTGGGCCAGAATTACCTCACTATTCCCCCTTTTCTTCCTTTTGGAATGGTAATGTATATTCTGTACCATTATATGATGAAAGTATATAATTTACCTTTTGATTTAACAGGAGGTTACAATTAAAAGATTGCTTTGCATCTCGGAAGGTCTTTGGACTTTGAAGTTTCTGTTGAGGACTTTTGAAGTTGGACTAAATGCATTTTGTAATACTATGTGACCAAGAGCCTTAGGGGGCCAAGGAGTGGAATGTGGAGGTTTGAGTGAGAAATGTCTCCCATAGTCTCAGACATTTGAACACTTGATCCCCAGTTGACACTACTGTTTGGGGGAGCTTCAGGTTGTTCAGTCTTGCTAGAGGAAGTACATCCCTTGTACAGGCTTGGAGAAAAACCCATGCCACTTCTAGCTTGACCTCTCCATGGTTGAGATACGAACTCGCAGCCTCTTGTCCCTGCCGCCATGCATGGCAAGCTTCACTGCCGTAATGGACCCATCTCTCTGGAGCCATAAGCCCAAGCAAATTCTCCTATAAGTTGTTTTGTCCGTTTTGTTTTATCATAACAGCAGAAAGGTAAAGAATATGGAAGTCCACACATTTCACCATCAGAGATTCCCCCCCCCCTCCTTTGGGGGCATTTCCACTTCCACTTGGCCTTGTGCCTCTATCCAGAGTCTCATCAATCCAGGTTCCCAACCCACCCTTGCATCTCCACTCATTTTGAAAGGCTTCACTTAACTGAAAGTAGAATCAGTAAACACAGCCAATCAAATTATTTATGCAAAGGAAACACAAGCAACTTCAAATTCACTGCTCTTATAAGATTGGAATTAATTTGAACATGCTCTTATATTGAGTTACACACTGCCAAGATCACAGAAATAACTGGATCATTAAGTGCAATTAGCACAATTATATCTGGCCTATTGGGAAATAAAGAAACTCCATATTTTTGTGGTGGACAAGTATCTATATTCTAATTGCAAGTAGGGTTGCAAGCAGCTTCTACCTAATTCTATAGCACACTTCAGAAAAAGATGACTTCAATCTGAATTCTGTCAGAATTCTAGTTTTCTTTTTGGTTTTCACACAAATTTCATTTTGTTTCACATAGAAAAAAATGGAGCCTCTAAATAAAATGATGCGGTATACAAACAAAACACACACTCACAAATCAAGTGAGAATGATAATATGTTTTTCAAAACAAAACACCTGAATAACAATGGATAAAATATCAGGAAGGACTCTGGCCAGCAATTAAGAATGTAACACACCATTAGCCAAGCTTGCAATGTGGCATTAGATGATACAGACATCTGGCAAGCCCCTGCCTGACTGGCTTTGAGGGCAACAGGGATTCAAATTCCAAAGTGTTTCTGTGCTTTTCTGTTTGCTTCTGGGATCTCCAAGTAATAGCACACAGATAAAATAAGTAGTTCATTTATTTATACAAATCCTACCAAGTCTTTTCCTTGCTAATCTTCTCTAATGAACAAGTCTTTAAAGAAAAGCAAGATGACCATCTGGCTGACACAACCGGAGCATGTGTTGCAGTCAGAGTAATTGAATCAGAGGATGTGATGGGGAGAAGGACACTGTGCTAAGCAGGGTTGGTTCAAGTCAGCAATTCCTGGCTCATCAGTGGCTAATCCCACTTCAGATGCATGGAGCCTGAAGCTAGGGGGAAAAAACTCTAAGCTGTCTCAAGAACCCAGAAGTTACCGTCTAGAAACAATGCCATTATCTGAAGTGGTAGTAGACTCCATTCATCTTCCTGGGTCTGGAGCACAGTCTGAGGCCTGCCAACCTCCTGGAGAATTCAGACTTGTGGGCCCCTAGCACTCACCTCATACTGACTTCCAGCTGTCCTAACTCCAACCCTCCATCCAATAAACAACACTGTTTCCTGGTGGGCAAGAATGAATTCTAAATCTTACTTTGGGGTGAGAGCACACATATTATTGGGGGAGGGGTAACAGTCTGCATCTACTTTTTGTTCAGCAAATGCTCTTACATGGAATGTATGCTTGACTGGTTTAAATGTGTTTATGTGGTGTACTTCCTCTAAGCAAGTGTTGTAGAAATCAACTGCCTGTTGAGTCTTTCTATAGTCTTATCTATAGAAGTGTTTTCAATTTATTCGAAATTTGAGAAATTATGAAAATATTTAAAATTTTAAATTAAAACATAATTTTATATCTTAAAATATAATTATATTATTGCCCCTTCTCTATTCCTCCTTCCAACATCTCATGTAATTCCTAGCATCCTTTTGAAATAATGGCTTATTTTTTTAGATACACACACACACACACACACACATATATACATGTGTGTGTGTGTGTGTGTGTGTATTTTTAAGGATAACCATTTAGGTTGGACAGTCTATTAGAAGATCATCCCCGAGGATGACTATTTCCCCTGCTCTCAGCATTCCTTAGTTACCTACAGATTTTCTATGGAGGGTTGGAGCCCCATGAGATTTCTTCCTTCCACATTTGCATGTCTACTGGTGTACTTCTTTGAAGCTGTTTAGACATCCACATTGTTGAGATATCATGTGTAAAGCTTCCCTGCCACTTCTAAGAGATACAACTTCATAGTAGATGTCCTGGTCCCCTGACCCTTATAATCTTTCTACCCCTTGACATTCTCTGAGCATAAGTACAGAAGTTGTGTTGTAGATTTATCAGTTGGGGTTGAACATATTATGGTTACCGTATTTTGACCAGCTGTGTGTTTGGTGTGTGTGTGTGTGTGTGTGTGTGTGTGTGTGTGTGTGTGTGTGTGAGTGTGTGTGATGGTCTCCTGTTGCAAAGAGAAGCTTCTTTAATGAGGAGTGAGCTACCCTTATCTGTGGGTATAAACATAAATATTTGTAATGTAGTTAAGAATTATGCTTGTTTAGTAAAGTTGCAATAATAAATTCACCTGTAAGATCCATGACCTTACTAGTCCTTACTGGTTAGTTAGTTTTTCAGAACTAGTTCTGATCACTCCCCTGTCAAATGGGTCTAAAGTACACTTTGAGAGCTGGTGCATGGGTGTCACTGTTGCATCCACAGCTTATCCTGCCCTGCTGGTTGTCTCTGGGCTTCATAAGCATCAAATCTGGGTAGGATTATTAGTTGCTTCCTTCCCTTGTAAGTTTCCATAGCCCCTCATGGTAGTACAAAAGCTAGTCCTTAAGGAGGAGGCTTTCAGGTTAGATCCATCTCATGTTCTCCAGGTCTTGTAACTTCAGCAGTAGGGACTTAACTTTTAGCCCCCCAGAGGCAACCGAGGGCAGCAGCAATAGCCTATAGTGTTTTAGCAGTTTCTTGAA